TCGTAATTATTTAAAACTCCGGTAACCATGGAATTATACAGACTGACAATAAGATAGACAAGGATAAACGGTAAATTCAACAAGATTTGCTGACGAAATGTCAACATGTTCTCATAACCTCGAATATTGGTGTTTATAAATAAAGTGACTAGTCTGTGAAATAAACCATACAACACCAAACATTTGAATGGTTAACTCCAAACCAGCTAGTGCCTGTGTAATCTCCTTATTATGCACTCTTATCAAGCAGCTTCTCGTTTTCAGTCAATTAACTCCTGCTCCATTTGTATCTCCTTGTGCTGTGTATATCGTACAAACGTGGTAGGAATGTAGGCGGTATTTATTTGGTGCTTGGGAAAGTGTCAGTTATTGAGCTCTGAGTGCCCCTGGAAGGCCCTAATTCGGTTATGTCCAATACGTATTCCTCTGTGCCTGGAACCCGAACATCGATTGTCGTCCACTATCTTCCTGGAACCACTCTCCTCGCCCTTTGTTGGCGTGAGTTCTTTCAGCTTCTTCCATGTTACTGCAGTTAATATTTCCCCTGAACTAATCGCATATCCGCAAATTCGCGAAAGAAAATTCAAAGTAAGTCACAGTTTGTCAAATTTTTGTTATTATTAACGGGGGCTATCCACCTGTAACTATCTGTTAATGACAAAAAACATCAATGCCGCCATCAAAATTTTCAATTTTTTTCTCGTACTCCCCAAAGGAGCCTCTATCACCCCTTAATGAATGAATGACGCCAATTTTGAATCACCCTGTATGTATATATTTATTTAACAAAAATAGCATAAAATACACGAGAAGTTGAGCTTTCGTTCACAAAATACCTTTGGCGATCGTTTGCAGATTCTTCTCTGACCCATCTCTGACAAATTCCTACGGCATCGTCCAGAAACATTAAAATGCGCATGCGTCAGATGCCCAACCAATCTGGTGTGCAACCAAAATTGCCTCCGGCGAACGTCGGGCGGCCGGCGCGTAAAATATCGACTAAAGACACAGGGTACTATCATAATCATAAACGAGCGAGGAATTAGACTTTGTAAAAAGCATATGCCAACAATTATTCTTAAATGTTAATTCATTTTTAAATAAAATTTAGCTTTTAAACAGTATCGTATGCAAAGTTTATATTTTATGTAAACCATTCGATGTTATCATCAGTTTTTTTTCTTTAAGTAGTTAGATCATATGCAAGTTAGACTTATGCTTTTGTAAGTTACACCTATGACCCATGCTTTGTTTTTGCTTCTTGAATATATTATTTTTGGTTTACCAATGCTAAAAATTATTTTTTCAATAAACTAAATCATTATTTAGCATCACTGTTTTTATCATCATCATCATCACTGCAAATTTTGAAGGAAAAATTAAAAAAGTAACATGTTACTTTTGGAACCGCATTTTGGAATCTGAGACCAACGTGAAACTGCAGCGTTGTAACCTATTCTACAAAAAAATAACCGTTTAGCACAGCTCTAATGGACATACGTTAGATAGAGGATAGAAACTCTTTCAAGCGAGCGGTTAAGAACATACTGTAGGGAAAATATTATTATTCTGTTGAGGACTTTCATCTGATTTGATCTGTGACTGAGACATGTTGCCGATGTTAGTGCTTATTTTCTGAAACATGTTAATATTGCATTCAGGTCTGGCATGGGGAGTATTTTGTGCCGTAATAAGGACATTAACGCGCTATCATGGAGCGGTACATCTAGGCTCAACTGTTCCTCTTGCAATGTGTGGTATATTGGCAAGACAATTAGAAGACAGTGGACCCGAGTTAGGGAACATCTAAAGTGCCCTCATAAGCCCAATTTCGGACATCATGTGTCTTATTGAGGTTTCACTTTTCCGCCCGACTCGAATTCGAGAATTCCTGAAAACGTCCATAGTTCGTCCTGCAGGTTGAGGCTGTTGGGGGATTGGGAGATACTCAGGGAGACCGCCCGTGTGGATTTCAAGTGATTGAACACACAGGTGAAGTTAAATTGCGATTTCTCTCCCATTTTCAAGAGTTTTTATGGCTTCAAGTCTGTAGTCCTCCCTTCAGCCATTGCGTGTTGCCATCGGGTTGCTGTTTGTTTCCTCCGCAGTGTTTGTCTGGATGCCTTTCAGACTGTCAATTGCTGTTTGTTTGTTTTTGGTTTCCTCGCTGTTTAGCTAATTTTACCTGTTTCCACAATTTGCTATTGTTTGTTGGTTTTCTGGTTCGAGGAATTTTCAATTTTATCTTTTTTGGATATGAGAATTCCTTCAGTATTTAGCACATGGATGGTAGAATCTACATTATCCTTCCATTTCTTCTATCCAACAAAACTTTGCGCGTGTTTTTGAAATTGCCGAGCACCAACATTTTATCACTCGTGGCCTGACTACTCATTTCGGCCGGACCAGGTTTTAAATTTTTTGGATTTTTGAATTTTTTAAGGATTTTGAAAGATTTTTTATTGTTAATTTTAATTGTAAGTTTTAATGTTTAATTTTGATTTGTCAGCATAATTATCAGAATTTTAATGTGAGCAATTTCATGTTGGTCCGTTTCCCGTCGTGCTTTTTGTGTTCCTCTGACCGCCCTACCACTGGTTGGCATGCTTGGTTCTACACTCTTGAGGGTTGGTTATAATTTAACCAGTTGTTAACATATTTTATTCTAATCATGTTCTTGACTCCCCAAGGGTGCTTATCTCTACTTTTTGTGTTTCCAGCTGTCTTGCAGTCGAATCTCCTTTATTTCTCTCTGAGGCCTTCCTTGTTTTCTCTGTGGTCGTTTTGGCTTCAACGAAGTTCTAAATGTTGGGGTGTTTTTGATTGCGGTTGTCTTTTCTTCGATCAAGGAGGAACAATCCTTATCACACCTTGGATTTTCTGCTACGTTAACCGAGCAACTATCCTTAGGGAGATATTTTCTCCAGCTGCTATGTCCATTATACTCAAAAGTTTATCGTATGCCATGACAGATTTTGGTCCTTCAATTGAGTCGTTATTTGGTCGTTGTATGAATTCCAGTCTGATTTATGAAAATTCCTCATCGTGGTGATTCCTGTGGATAGTATCGTTTTGTGTTTCTTATTAATATTGTATTCTATAAAAGTGGGATAGTGATCACTATTTCCACAGTCTTGAAGGGTTCCCCAAAAGAAGTTTTGTGCTACTTCTCCACTCACCAGCGTTAGATCTACTGCATTGGTATGATTGTTTGGATTCTAGGACATCGTCCTCTTACCGTAATTCATTATGACTAGCTCATTAGTCGTTGGAAAGTAGCTCAAAATTCTACCTCAATTGTTCATCGGTGCTTCGTCCCACATATAATGGTTTCTTGGTAACGACTACTGTTTCTGAAATAACCCTGTTCATACAGGTCGAAACGTGTTCCTGTACGACACCCTACAACTTATTGGCGGAATTGCAATAAGTTATTGCGCTGCACAGACATTCACAATGTATTTATTTCAAATACCTAATCGCATTTGCAGCTAAGTATTTTAAAATAATGTTTTTAATTTAGGAAGAGTTTAAAACAATTACAATCAAAATAAATTCCTTTATTAATCAGCCATTCACAAAATAAAATAATTTTGAGGTACAGTGCGAGCTACACTTGTTTGAGAGTTCTAGCAATTTTCAATATTACTGTGTTGAGAAGCATTATTTATTTTGGAAAGAGTGTCTTTTACTACGGTTACAGGATCTATAGCACGAAACTTTTTAGTCTGAGAGAGAAGTTTTAAAAACTCAGTTGTGTTGAGAAATTCATGAGCAAATACAGAATTCCTAAAATCCGGGTTTTTGAGAGATTCAAAAATGTGTGCAGCATGTTCCCAAAAGGTCAAATCTCCAATATTTTCTACTCGAGAATGCCACGGGATTGCTGCTGTAATTAATTCTAAGATGGGATCTAATGATAAAAAAAAGATGAATTCTGCAAAGTCATTACTTTCGGAGTAAACATTATTTGGCAGGTCTTTCAAAGATTTAGAGATTTCTAACTGAGAACTTGAATCAACGGTTTTTTCACTGTTGTCATCAACTTGGGGGTTAATTATTGGAACTACGTTTTCTTTGCTCGGCCGGTCCATATCGGTTTCCAAAGATTTTTCCAAACTTTTGTCTGGACTTAAACTTGTATCCACCTGTGGAAGCTCCAAATCTTCAATAATGACACCGTCACATATATTTACAACTTGGTCTATCAGCTTTGAAACTTCCTCATGCACAGCCTTGAAATAAATAGCCCTTTCTTCATCTCTCATTTTTACATCGTTGTCAAATCGAAGGATCTTTTCCAACTGCAATTCTTTGAATTTATTGCCAGTTTCAGTGTTCCAACAGACTCTTTTTCCCATTGAAAGTTCCAGTGCTTTAGCAAATCCTTCGACCGAATTGTCGGCTTTGCAAAAGTCTAGTAGAAAAGCTGTGTAATTTACTCCATAATTTTGTATGTAGTAAAGTTTGAAAATAAGTTTTTTAATATTGCCAATTTTACGACCGGCTCCCAGCTCGAGGTGCTCAAACCACAGCTTTGCTGCAAAAAACTGATAATCTTGAACTAATTCCGTTCCATCCGGGTCGCATTCCTTTAAAGCTGCCCTAGTTAATAGTAATTCTTGTTCTGTCGGGAAGGGTACTTGAATATTGTAAATTATAAAATCTCTCCAATAGACATATTCTAAATCGTCAAATAGTTCACTGATAACATTATTCAAGCTCTGCGAGTTTATCTTTCTCCACAGTTTTGGAGGAGAACTCAGATCAGCACATACTGCAGAAGCCCAGATAATGTCTTGTAAAATAAGGGTAAAAGTCGACTTTGGCAAATATCCCCCAGGGCTCAAGTCCAGAAAAATATCGGCGATTTGGGAAAGCTGCTCTATGGTAAATACTTCATCTTCAATTAATTCTAACGTTGATTGCTCAATAATTGGCGCTTGATCAGTCACCTTGATTTCAGGATTAATCAAAAATTCGTTGCCATCTAATTGTAATTCGGTTTGTACCAAATCTTCCTCTTCAACAGCAGCACGAAACACATTGCAAACAATATTTATATTCGTTATGTCATTTGTGTACTTTGAGTTAATTTGCTGAATAACTTGATGAAAACAACTTTGAATACAACATAGGAACTCTTCAATGGATTGTAGGGCATCGTATTTTAGTAGATCAACTCGCAGTAACACTCGGAGGGTCTCTCCTCTAACAGCAGTATCAAATTCCTCCACAATTTTATCGTAGCTGCCTTTCAGTTCTTTCGATTCTAGATCGGACGGTTTTAGCGTTTCTAAAAATAAAAAAAAATGAATTAATGACAGTGTCGTAGCTATCTCAAAAATCCATACAAGTCTAAACCAACCGGTCTATTTGCGTTACCGGTTTAATGCCGCTAAAGAGGAAAATCCTTCGATAATTGAAGTCTTACTTATATGCAATTTCAACACACCTATGCAAATCAGTAGTGAGGTTTTTTAATTGAAAATTAACAGTAACGATGCCTTCAACACGAACGAATTACGATCTTATCGTTTATTTAATTACAAATTCTTACATTTTAATACGCTTAACTATTCGTTTCCGCTGTAGAAAAACTGGGGATATATTGAAAATTACAAATTATCGTCCCATAATTTTAACTTTATTGAAACACTAAAACAACCCTGGATATTTTCCATTAGTAAATTTCATCTGCAATTACTCGTAAAATCCTATACCTAGCTTAAAGTTAAACTTAATTTATTTTGCACAATGTTTACAGAAGAGCTATCGGACTACGCTTTTCTATTTTCTAATTATAATCGGATATTTTCATAGCCAACGTTTTCATTGCCAATATGCATTACAGCCCCATTCAATTTCGTCAGAATTTCACTCGGTTTCCACTAGCACTCACAAATACAGGGGGTGCCAATTAAATCTGTGGATTATGGTCAGTTTTGTGAAAAGAAATTTGAAGATGCCTTAAAGCAAATGCCCGGGAGGCTTTTTGAACTTTATTAAAGCGCTTTTGAGGCAAAATCCATTAAAAAATCATTTGTTTTGTGTCTGACGCTGTCTTATTATTAATTGATGCAATTGCGACATTCTCTTGGTCATTTCAGTTTGCTTTGTTCATTATTCGGGAGATTTCCTTAAGACAGCGCTATTTCTGAACAAAAAGCACTTTCTGAATAACTAAATGATTTATCAGCATGCGGTTTCCAACAACTTTATAAGGAAGCTTTTCTTCAAAATTTGTCTGTTCTGCCTGATCCTTTCCTTTAATTTACATTTCGTTGTTACATTATTCTTGAATGTTTCAAGTTCGTTCGGAAGCTCATTAAATATGTTTACAGTCCTTATATAGCTATTCTTTATACTAACTGTTCTGCTTCTTTGTGGAATCTGTATTGGCGTTTTTTCTTGTTATACTATATGATGCCAGAAATTTATTTTTCAAGTCATTGTACTGAAATACTATTGTTTCATATGCAAAAAGTTGTCTTATGTTCAAAGGATTGGCATAATTCAAAAAATTGAAAATATGATGAATGACAAAACACAAATATTAAATATATATTTTTACTTGAAACATTTTTTATGTGCCGTTTCCATTTCATGTTGAAATCAAAAACTATTCCCAATTATTTGCAATATTCTACTCGCTTTAGAATCTTTCCCTGTCTATAATTCGTATTCGAACGCTATCAATAGAGTTTCCAAATGTCAAGTAGACCGTTCATTCAATGTTTAAGGAAAGCTTATTCAGTGCAAGCTAGTCGGAGATTTTGTCTAAGAAGTTATTTATCTAAATTTCAACTTTACTCCAGGTATCATCTGTTGAAATGACAGCTGGGTGATCCGCATATGATATAATAATGATGTTCAGTACAAAAAAAGAAAGGTCCTAATATTGTTCCCTACAGGACACCTGCACATTTTCATATTTACTTATTCCACCTTTAAGTTTTACCCTTTGGTTTCTGTTAGTCAAGTAACTTTTACGTTTTACGTCAACATTTGTGGGTTGCCGTATCCTATCACTTGCTTTTCTGCCAATATTACAGAAGTAAGAACAAAACTCATCAGCTATCCCGTTGGGCTCTTTAATTATTACCATATCGTTATTGTATACTTGTTTGATAGTAGAAAAAGGAAAAAGAACAAAAGTTAGGTTTTATTAGTTGGGCAAAGTTTAAATTTTATTATTTCCCATAAGTGTTTTGGATTATTCTGATTCTTTTTTATTCGTTAATTTTCGAATTTAATTTTAGTTTCTGAAATAAACTTATTTAGAATCATTGTATATTTGTTATACTGTATCTTAAGATTATCGTTCCCTGGATCAATTCGCCAGACCTTATATAATAATTCTTTTTTATTAAACAATACATTTATGGCCTTGGTAATCCATTCACTTTTTGATTTTGCATTATTACGTTTATTGTTCGTTTTTTACGTTAACAGTAGCACAACTTACGTAGTTTTGCTTTTCTCAATAAGAGTATTACTAGCCTCCGTTGGATCATGCACAGTCAATATAGTATCCCAGTTCACATCATTATCTATGTTTTTTAATTCCTTATAGTTTATTATTGTTAATCTTCTACCATATTTTTTATCATTATTTATCTCAAATCTTTTACCATATTTTTTTTTAATATTTTGAGTGATATAAATAGTGGATAATGATCTGTTAGAGAGTCCATGAGCTTGAAAGTGTCAGTTTTATTTAGTCGATTTTATCAGTTTTAATAAATATATTATCTATGCATGACCCAGAACTATTAGAATCTAATGGTCTAGTTACACTCATTAGAGTTCACTACACTTAAAGCCTGGATGGTACCCTTTTAATAAGAAGTTGCATAAAAACTCATCGCTAAAGTTGTCGTGAGTCAATAAATCTATATCTATTAAAATATCTGAACCAACAACTGAAGCATTTGAAAGTTGTACAAAACCTCTTTTACAAATTCATTTTATATTTGATAGTGGGATATGGATATCCGGTAGGAGGAGCAAGAAATTCAGCCCAGTGCTGTATCATAAATGCCATTTTTAACGGCCACACATTATGGCAAATTAACAGTTCATGATAACATTTTCGATAATGCAACACAACCGAGGTGTGCTCTATCTCTGAGTTAACGTATGCGTTTCCGACCCAGTTATCCAACAAACGTTAAAAAGGAAAAACAACATTGGATGCAGAAAGTGATATGCCCTTATACGAATAGTCGATTAGTTATAGAGATAGTTAACATCCAACCATCAAAGCTTCTAAAACATATGCACCTTATGCGGTTTTGACCATTTGGCCCACCTACTACTATACTTGTCTTTGTCTACGATTTGATTTGCGTTCACTTTCAATTTCGTTCGTTACTGTTCTTGACCTATCTTCTTAAACACTTTCAATTGAGCATGCACAGAAGAAGCAATAAAAACAAGGCGCAAACAAGTTGAAAATTTAGTAGAATTTGTGGAGGAAAATAAAGTTTATTTTCAAGACCATTTACCAATTGTTCTAATAAAGCTAACCTTATAGGACCACGAAAAGACATACTTTTGTTTTAAATTAAAAACAAATTATAGATGAAACACAAAACTACGCTCTGATTAAATGCAATTGTTTTCTTTATTCATCCAAGGTAACTTAGAATGATGCACGTTAAGTTCGAAAGCGCCGTGTGATTTGATGCTGTTCTATTTCTAAATCTAACGTTCGTCGATAGCGTACCCCTGTTATAATATAACGGTTTGACTGCTACAACACACCAGTTGGAGCCACATAACGTGTTTGGGGGATAACATGCACGTTAAAGTTAACGTGAGTGATACAGCACAGGGCTAATTTAGCAGAATTATGCAATATTTATTGGCGCTAACAGAAGCATTGCAAGCGAGCACCTGAGAGTTCTAAATAGCAATACGATTGTTGTCAATTGGCGTTATTCCTCTGGAGGCGTGTTTTAGGCGTATAGAGAAAATAGTAAAAAAATGAATTATCATTAAAAACTGAGATATTTGCAAAAAACTAGATCAGTACTAGAAAACTAGAACATTACGTAAATACCTCTGGCTTCGTAATTAATAAAAACTCCAGTAACAATAAAAAAACATAAAGTGACAATAAACTAGGTTAGGATAAACAATAAATTCAGGATTCATTAAATCTAGAGATCTACTTTGTCTAAGTGTCAATATTGTCAACGAGAAATTGTTCTTTATTGTCATTATAACCTCAAATTGATGTGTTTACAAACAAACATATATTTCTGTCTTTAACTACAAAGAAGTTAGTGCCTTCTTCTCTAGCAGCTTCTTGTATTCGGCTAATTAACTCCTGCTCAATGTGTACAAGTTGTTCGGTGCCTGGGAAAGTGTCAGTTGTTGTGCAATGCTCTGAGTACCCCCTGGATGGCTCTGCTCGCCAATAAAAGTTTTATTAAAACTAAAAAACAAGTTTCTCTGTGTCTGGAACCCGATCATTTATTGTCGGCCACTATCTTCCTGGAGCCAATCCCCACCAGTCTCTCTAGTTGGTGCAAGTTCTTGCAGCTTCTGATATGTTACTGTGGCATTCCCCATTAACGAATAGCGAATCCATGAATTCAATGAAACATGGGACCATTTTAAAGTAATAGTTATGAGCAAAATTGCAATTGGATTATCAACTATTAATACCATTTAACAATTTAAGAAAAAGTTTGCAATTATTTTCTTCTGCTTTCCAAGTAAGTCCCTCTCTCACTTTAGTGCATAACCCTTCTGCGGGACATGGTGATGTCAATTTGTTACGCTCGCAAAGACGTCGCGTCGGGGCTCTGTATCATGGGCACATCTCATTGCATCATGCATCATTTGTCCTGTAAAGTTTTTCACGGGTCTATTCATCGCGTCGGCGATCTTTCTCTTGGGCGGCGGCATTGGACTTTGCCTTCTACTATGAGTCGTTCGACATTGTCGTACCTCCTTGCCACATGACCTAGATATCTCATATAGCTATGGCTTATTGCCTGGTATAGCCTGATCTTTATACTGAGATCTTAGATAATAGAGTCGTTTCTGCGGTGGGATGTTCATGGTATTTGCGGAACTTTTCTATTATTATATTAAAATTAGGCTATGTATAAGCCGAAGATTTGTGTTTTTGGTAATGGTCGCTCATTCCAAATGTTCCCCAGTTTGCGGACTCCTTCCGATGCACCTTTGTTGGTAACTACTGATCCTGGATCATCAAATCTTTCCAACACTGCAAATCCAGCTACGGCGTTTCTTGTTACAGCTTTTCATGTCGTCTGT